TATTACATAAATAAAAATTACATATATGAACTATAAATTAATTTTATATATAAAATTTACATAAATAAAAATAAAAATTATCAACTTAAAAATAAATTATATTCTAATATATATATATATATATATATATATATATATATTCTCCAAAGTATAACTTAATTTCATTTCTATAATATAACATATAATACATTTCTATGTGATTTCTGTCAAATTATAGATTAGATATAAACATTTTTAAAAACTCAAATTATAGATTGGAAATAAATCTATAAAATTTTAAAAATTATGTTATATTTTTAAATACAAATATTAGAAAAATGTTTAAAAACATGTATAAATTATATTTATATGTCTAAAATATTAAAGATATCTACATTTAAAAAAATACTAAAAAATATTAAAAGTTATACTTTAAATTAATGAAAATATTTAAAAAAAATTATATTTATTAAAGTATTAAAAAATATTTTGTAATATATAAGTTAAAAAAATTATCATTAAATTTTTTAAAAATTATTAGTTTTGTAATTTATATACAATGAAAATAATATAATGGTCTATTAGTATATAAATATATAAATATATAAATATGTAAATATATAAATATATAAATATATAAATATATCAATATTTAAATATATATTAAAATATATAAATATATTTGTATCTATAGATTTTATAAATATATAAAGATATAAATAAATATATATATATATATATATATAAATATAAAGATGTAAATATATAAAGATATAAAGATATAAATATATGTAAAGATATAAAGATATAAAGATATAAATATATGTAAAGATATAAAGATATAAAATATAAAGATATAAATATGTAAAGATATAAATATATATCTTTAATATTTTGTACATGTAAATATAATTTATATATATTTTTAAATCTTTTTCTAATATTTATTTTTAAAAATATAATATTATTTTTAAAATTTAATATTTAATTTTTTTTTCAAATATATAAAGATATAAATGTATAAGGATATAAATAAATATATAAATATATATATATATCAAAATATAAATATATAAATATATTAATATATAAATATATCATTATATAAATATAAATATATATATATATATATATATATATATATATATATATATATATCAATATATCAATATTATCCCCTCATATATTATTATACATTATTACAGTAATTTTAGTTTAATTAAAAATTAGAATACAAATATATTATATTATATTAATATACCATTATGTTATAATATTTGTAATTTATTTTTATAGTGTATAAATTACAAAACTAATAATTTGTATACTATACTAATATATAATTTATATACTATACTAATAGTATAATATACTATATTATAATATTATTTGTATACAAAACTAATATCTTTATATCTTTATATATATAAATATATAAATATGGAAAGATATAAATATATAAAGATATAAATATATATAAAAATATAAAGATATAAATATATCAATATATAAATATATAAATATATCAATATATAAATATTTAAATATTTAAATATTTAAATATTTAAATATTTAAATATTTAAATATATCAATATATAAATATATCAATATTTAAATATATCAATGTATTAATATTTAAATATATATATTAAAATATATAAATATATTTTTATTTATAGATTTTATATTTATATATTTATACTGGATATACATTTATTTGTATATAAATATAATTTATTTGTAATTTATTATTAAAAAATCCTAGTAGCTCGAGTGGTTGGAGTTTCAACCTCCAATTCTAAGGTATCGGGTTCGAATCCCGACAATGACAATAAACCTAATAATAAGTTAAACTTCTAAAAAATATAATTAAGAGGTAGGGAAATAAATAATAAATATAATTAAAAATGTAAATAAATAAAAATAATTAATTTTGTTATTGATTTAGCGATCGATTTAAATCGGTCGCTATTTTTTTAACTTTGTCATCGATTTAGCGACCAATTTGATATATTAATTTCGGTCGCTATTTTGCGACCGAAATAAAATCGGTTGTTATTTTGCGACCGAAATGAATATATCGATCGATTTTTGCGACGACGCATTTCGGTCGCTAACTGATTAGCGATCGATTTTTTGACTTTAGCGACCGATTTTTTCGGTCGCTAAAATGCTTTTTTCTTGTAGTGTATGTATATAGGAGAACAAATAATAAATAAGCATAGCTCAAGGTAGAGATATTTTGGATAAAAAAAAATATCATTTCACTTGATATTAAAATTTTACCACTTAAAAGAAAAGAAAATTATAGACCACCCTATCTTTCCTTCTACTTTCATGAAAATAATTTGAAACAAACAAAAATCAATCCTCCCATTTGAATTCCACTAATGGTCCATTTACACTAATACAAATAAGGCTTTCCACGTCAGTTTTGGAAGACCTTCAACTGCGGTTCCAGAACCAGCGTTGTTGAAAGTTGTCGGTTCTATTTAATCACGTGGAAAGTCTGATTTTTCAAATCGAAAATTTTTATTTATTTTCAACCCCTCTATTTATCTAGAAATCCCTCCTCTCTTTTATATTATATTTTTATTAGGTCCCTCTTTCTATTATAGAATATTTTTATTATTTATCATATTTTTTGAAGTTTAAAGCATTACCAAATTAATTTTTTATCGTTGACGAATTCGAACCCAGTACCTTAGTGTTGGAGGTTGATACTCCAACCACTAAACTACTCAAATTTTTTTATAGTAACTTACAAATAAATTATATTTATATACAAATAAATATATATCCGTGTAAATATATAAATATATAAATACAAATATATTTATATATTTTGATATATTTATATATTTATATGTTGGATGTGAGGGCACGCTCGAAGGTGAAAGTGTGTGTCGAGTGAGTTTTCAAAATTTGATGTCAAATTTGTGAGCGAGTCTCTTTATATAAGTTTGTAATTTAATGATAGAATATAATATTTATAATTTATTTATATAATGCTATAAAATAAATTTGGGAAACACATCATTCGCTCAAGCGAAAAATACCAATTTTCGCTCAAGCGAGACTTGAGCGAGTGAATTTCCGTGAACTTTAACGTATTTTCACTCAAGCAAGAGTCAATCTCACTTTCACCCTCGAACGCGTTCTCACATCCAACATATAAATATATAATATATAAATATATAACTATATAAATATATCAAAATATATAAATATATTTGTATTTATATATTCTATATTTATATATTTACACGGATATATATTTATTTGTATATAAATATAATTTATTTGTAAATTATTATCAAAAAATTATAGTAGTTTAGTGATTGAAGTATCAATTTTCAACTCTAAAATATTGGATTCGAATCTCGTCATTGACAATTAAAAATTCTCTAACTTAAGTGAGTTTTTTGACTGAAAAAAATAAAAACACTTTCCGGAAAATATATATAAATAAATATATATTTACACTGGATATATATTTATTTGTATATAAATATAATTTATTTGTAAGTTATTATCGAGAAAATTATAGTAGTTTAGTGGTTGGAGTATCAACTTTCAACTCTAAAATATTGGGTTCAAATCCTGTCATTGATAATTCTCTAACTTAAGTAAATTTTTGGCTGAAAAAAAAAACACTTTCCAGAAAATATAAATAAATATTTACACACATATATATTTATTTGTATATATATATATATAATTAATTTGTAAGTTATTATCGAGAAAATTACGAAGTTTAGTGGTTGGAGTATCAACTTTTAACCCTTTGAATCTTGTTAGTGACAATTTTTTAACTTAAGAGAATTTTTGGGTGAAAACACATTCAACATCGGTTCATCTGAGAGCCGAGCGTTGAATGTGTCAATTAAAAGACTTTTAATGTCGGTTCATTTGGAACCTACATGGAAAGTGTTATAATTGACAATTTCCACGTCGATTCATTTGGAACCGACGTGGAAAGTGTTTTCTACATCGGTTGACTAAAAATTGACGTAGAATTTGTCCAACATTTAACTTTCAACGTCGTTTTTTAACCAACAGACGTTAAAAGTGTATTTAACATCGGCTCAAGCTTTAACCGACGTTAAATGACGACGTTGAAAATATATTTTGTAGTATTGTTATTTGTAAGAAAAATTTAGAAGATAGAAAAAATGGGTGAGGAAAAAAAATTATTTTTCTTTAGATAACAAGAAACGTTACCTTATCATGATACCCACCTATTTTACTTTTTACTTTATGTAAATAAAAATTTGAAAATATATGAAAAAAGTATTTTACAAAATTACACTCCAATAAAAAAATCTTCATTTTTTACCACTATTTTTATAAATTATGATAAATATTAAAAATATTTAAATCAAATGAAAGAAAAAGTATATTCTAATGTATTTTATAATTATATATGAAAATATACATGACTATAGAAAATAATCTTGAAAGTGTTAATGTTATTTCATTTATACAAAATAATTGATAGTTATATGAATTATTTTCTAATTATATATGGATTTAGTTTCAATTTATTTATTTATTATAATTTTAAAAGGCAATTATCCTTATTTTTCATGATACTTTCTTTTTAAATGGATAATTATATTTTTACTTTATTTCACTTTATTTTTCTTTTCCTTCTTTACAATGTATGAATTATTTTTGACCTCGCAGCCTGCGAATGGGACGCAAACAAAGGGAACCGCAAAAAAAGAAAAACATAAAAAACAAATAAAATAGAAAACCCTAGGTTTCTCTAACTTCCGACAACCACACACTTCCAAAGCGGAAAGGGTTTTTCCTTACACCCTCTCCAAACTTTCCACTTTCACCTCAAAACCCTTCTTCCATCTTTAATTCAACCCATCCCATGTTCTTCTACTTCTCCGCGCACCCCAATTCATTCTCTTCCGATGTGACACGACACAGCACGAAATCAGAGCACAGCCACTTGTCCCCAAAGAAGTAGCGCTGTGATTCGTATTGTGAGAAGGGTCACGGGTAAATGGAAGCGCGCGTAGGGATGGTGATGGAAGGGGGGAAGAGAACCCTCAACACCGACGGCGGCGCTGCCAGGTTCCTGGCTCAGAACAGCCACCAGCTCGGCACGCTGCATCAGCTTCTCGCCGGCGGCATCTCCGGCGCGTTTAGCAAAACCTGCACTGCCCCCCTTGCGCGCCTCACTATCCTGTTTCAGGTTGCTTATATTTTTAGTTAATTGTTGGGAAATATTTTTGTTTTATTTTGTTTTGTTGTATTTTTAAATTTTTTTTGTTTGCTTCTTTGGAATGTGCTTTGACCAAGATGGTGTTTTTGAGCTTCGGATGAATTGATTGGTTTTGGTGCAGGTTTACTGCGTTTGTGTTTGAGCTTACTTTTTATTTATTTATTTTATTAATAACCACTCTTGTAATTGTACTGTATTTCAATTTTTGAAAAGTATTATTTTATTAAAAAAATTTATAGACTTTATTATCACTAGTGCACGACAGCACTCCGGACATGTGTGGACTTTTTGTGGGTAAATAGAGATACCGTAAAGAATTATTGGAACAATAATAAGGAAGAAAGGAAGATTGAACAGGAAGTAGAGAACATGGATTTATTAGTTATAGCTATCAGTTTTTGGCAAATGGGATTTTGAAAGAAGAACCTCACACAAGCACCACTTTTCAAAACATTGTTGCAGCTTCTCCCCGTTGCAATATGGCTCTATTGTTAATTATGAAGGAAATATCAAACATGCTCTTGTGTGTGTGTGCGTACATTCATTTGTATGTTTGTATACTCTTTTTCCTCGTCCTGTTTTCCTGTTATTGCATAAGTGGTATATTCTTTCATTTCTCTCATAAAACTAAGTACAAATTAAAATGATTTGTTGGTATACATAAATCTAGTTTTGTACTTTTCTTGCATGACATTTAATCTTGAAGATTTAGTTGATTGGTTTTGTGTAGATCCATCATTCCACTTCTTGATTCAAATTCAGTTCTTTTAACCAGTATTTATTTGACTTTTAAGGTGCAAGGTATGCATTCTGATGTGGCAGCATTGAGCAATCCTAGTGTATGGAGGGAGGCATCGCGCATTATTAATGAAGAAGGGTTTAGAGCATTTTGGAAAGGCAATATGGTGACCATTGCTCATCGTCTCCCTTATTCTTCTGTCAACTTCTATGCCTATGAACGCTACAAGAATGTAATCACTGGCGTTCTTTCTAGACTTTAAGTGCTTCAGAAGCGAAGACAGCTATTGTTATGTAACTTGAATTAATTTCATCTCTGTTGTGTTGCAGCTATTAAATTCACTGATGGGGGAGAGTCGTAAGGGAGATTCAAGTACAAACCTCCTTGTGCACTTTGTGGGTGGTGGTTTGGCAGGTATAACAGCTGCTTCTGCCACATATCCTTTGGATCTTGTGAGGACACGACTTGCAGCACAGGTAACTAGACATTTTTCTGAGTTCAGAGAGAATCATCGTAGATACTTCTCTAATCTTTAGTTCATTGCCTGAGTGACTTTGGTTATATTTTCATTGTGTGTATTGTTTGATTGAGTTGAGTCCCATTCATCATTATTTTATGTTTACTCTTACCTTGTATATTGAGATTTATATTTTGTTCCTTTGCAGAGAAGTACCATGTACTACCAGGGCATCTCACATGCTTTCAGTACCATCTGTAGAGATGAAGGTTTGTTGGGTCTGTATAAGGGGCTTGGAGCAACATTGTTGGTATGCTCACAATGTGCTTTTACTCTATTTTCTTCTTGCTGTGTTCTTATTATTGACATAACTAATCATTTTCTATATTGCAGGGTGTCGGACCCAGTATAGCCATTAGTTTTTCTGTTTATGAGTGGTTGCGTTCTGTATGGCAATCACAAAGGTGAATTTCTATAATTGTGTGAAATTTAGGAATAGTTTACCTTATGCTCAAGATGAAATATGAATTTGTAAATATTAATTAATTTTCTATCTCTTTCTAATATAGGCCTGATGATTCTACTTCTATGGTTGGTCTTGCCTGTGGCAGTCTGTCAGGAATTGCATCATCAACAGGTGGGTGCATCTTGATTATGAAAATCACTAATCCAAGTAATTGAGCATAACTTCCTCAAATTTTTATTGTATTTAATTTGATGCTTATTTAATTACTTTTGACCTATGTGATAATTCAATTACTATTGTGAGTTGGGAAATTAATAATTATTTATATCAATGTCAATTTTGTTGGGTGGGATGAAGGCAGGTCTAACAGATCTGAAACAATGCCTTTAGAGGTTTGATCTTCTGATTTGAAAAACATATCCACATCAATCCCTAATTCAAAACTAATCATTGCTCCTCGGTAGAAATAATTTGAATCCTAGTTGTCAAAGGTAATTAAAACAAAATTGCAGAACATGATAAATCAGCATTGCTACTATAACCTAGCTACAATCTTGTGAACAATACCTTTATCATTAGGCAAAAACTAGTTCAATATATGATTATAATTGAAACAGCTATCACTCTTGAAATACTTGAAAAGGGAAGTCCTATTTCTTTTTCCAATTAGAATCAGATAGATGATTGGGATGTGGTGTAATGATGTTGCAAACTTTGCTTTCAACAACAGTTCAGTTAACTGCCTTTAATGCCTATCAGACCATATTAATTTGTATTATATGCCTGCATTATTTTTTCTTACCACGATAAAGCATGTCATGGGTATATACTGCTTTCCCTTTGGACTAGTTGCTGCTGGAAGTTGTACTCCTTATGATTTTTTTGTGGTCCTTATGACATAACATTATCTAATATTTTGTGTTTGATGTCTCGTGCAACTTGCAGCAACATTTCCTTTGGATCTTGTAAGGCGTAGGATGCAATTAGAGGGTGCTGGCGGTCGAGCTCGTGTCTATAACACTGGCTTGTTTGGTGCATTTGGGCATATAATTCAAACCGAAGGGGTTCGAGGTTTGTACAGAGGAATTCTGCCTGAGTACTATAAGGTTGTTCCAAGTGTGGGCATTGTCTTTATGACTTATGAAACATTGAAGATGCTTCTATCAGGCATTCCTAGTTAGTAGATTTCAAAATTTGCACCATTTATCGGGTTAAGTTAATTTAAAAGGATAATTTCAGGGTTTTGATCTCTTCGAAGATTGTTATCATGATGAGTATTTTCTAGGAAGTTTTGTTGAGTTGATTTATTCTGTTAATGCCAACATTTTTGTTCTGTATAGGTAGTTATAATTTGACTAACAGCAATTGTTCCAACTTGTAATGTTAGGTTGAAACCATTTTGTAGCTGATGATTTTATCAACAAAGCAGTTTTGTCTTAACAGTGTAATTGTGTTTTTTTGTATTAGTTAGAGGAAAAACATAGAAGGCTCATTGTTAGTAATAATCAAATAAAAGTCTTGACTTTACTTTAGGTTCATAGTATCATTAATGTGCAGTGTCTATAAAAGTTTAATTGTAAATTTGGAATTTTCAAATTATGTAGCTCTGGTTTGCGTATTTCAACTTCAGTAGTAGTTATTCGGCTTATATAACCTGTGCCCATGGCACAAGTTAACGCTGTTAATTACTTTATACATAGATAAATAGAGTCTTGAATGATCAAGAGAGAAATTGGATATATATATAAAATAAAAAATATTAATTATTTTTTCATTTAGATGAAGAAAAATATAAAATAAGAAATATGTTTTTTTTAATCAATTTTTGTAATTTTTTTATTTTCTTTTAATTGTTTTTTTTATCTTGTATTTATCAAATATTGTTTTTACTATTTTCACTTAATGCTTTATAGGTTATAAGAAAATCAATAATCACAATTTTTGTAATTTTTTTTGACATATTTTACTTATATACTGTGATTTTATTTAAAGGTAATCTTCAATTTTATTATATTTTATTTTACTTTTCATTAGAAAGTATTAAGGATTATTTTTTATAATAATAAAATTTTTATACTTATTTTTATTATCTCCATATAATATTTTTGGTTTATCACTTTTATTGAATTGAATAACTTATAAATTTTATGATGATTTTAGAGTAATTTTATAAAGAAAATGATAATGGAAAGACATAAAAAAATAGTCAAACAAATTAAAAAATATATATTTTTGTAAGAAATTACAGCATTATAACATGTTTAAATGAAAAAAATATAAATATAAACAAAATTTCGTTAAATATTATTAAAAAACGAAACTAATATAATAGCAAAAAATTATGAACCTTTAAATTTTATATTTTCATCCAATTTTTAAATTATTAGTATTATATTACTTTGTTTAAATTTTCTTGATTTTTATTTTTAAATATATATAATCATGAGTAGATGAAAATTATAAAATTGAGAAAATAAATAAATAAAATAAATAATTAATATTCTTATTACTTATTTATTATTATGGATATTTAATAATTGTATTTGTTGAGATAATAATATTAATAATAATTAAAATTAATATTTTTAAAAAAAGATTGAAAGACATGGTTCAAGATTTAATTAGGTTAACAAAATTTAATAAAATAATAATTTTATAATATAATAAATATATAATATGTTTATTAATAATAATATATTTTTTATAAAAAATAAATAAAAAATAAAAAGTACTGTAATAGTTATCATAAATTATAATAAAAGTTATAAATATAAAATATATTAAAAAAGTTAAAGATAAATAATTATTATCTTAAGTTGAGGTAATTAATATAAAATTAAAAAAATTAAAAAGTATTATATTTTTTTATAAAAAAATAATTATAAATATTTTTATCAAAATTAATTTGATTAAAAAAATCAACTAATTTTTTATTTTAATTTATTTTTAATTTAATTAAAATTTAATTTTTACCTATCCATTCATACAATTTTCAAAATAGTTATTAAAACTGCTTAATTTGGTGAAACTAAACCAAATTTTATTCCGACAAAAATTAGTACACAACATAAATAGTAACAACCAGATGTCAATAAATATCATTGTAACCAGGGATGACAATTAAACCAGTACTCGTGAGGACCGACCCGTCCCGCCCGAGTTTGACGGAGAAACCCCGAGTTGACCGGGGCGGGTCGGTTCGGGTTTTCCCGCTTTAAAAGTCGGGGCGGGGCGGGGATGGGTAATGCAATCCACATCCCGACCCCGCCCCGTCCCCGCCCGACTTTATATTTAAATTTAAATTTTAAAATATTAATATTTTAAAAGTATTTCATTTTCTTTTTCTATTACATATAAGATTATTTTTTTATATTTCACCAATTTTTATTTTTCTTCTACCCACTTTTTAATTTTTTTTATCTTTCTCAATCTTTTATATCAATTAATTTATTATATTATTCTCTCCCTTATCTTTCAGTTTTTCACATTTTCTTAGTCTCTCCCATCAATTTGTTTTTTTTTTCAATCTTTTCAACCAATTTGATGAACACAAAGTTAATCTTTTTTCTTTATCTTTTTCTAAATATTTTACATCAATCTTAGTAGTAACTAATATTAGTTTATTTATAATTTATATTTATTATGCCATATATTTTTTATCTTATTATGCTTATTTATCATATATCAAATTTTATCTTAATAAAATAATTGCATTTTAAAGGATTAAAAGAAATTAATAATTTAAACTTTTATTACTTCAAACTAATTAAATAAGAATTAACTTATTAAATATTTTCTTATAAACTATATATTGACAACTTAAAAATGAATTAACTTATATGTATAATTAAATATTTGAATACAATATTATAATAATAATGTTATAAATATTCAAATATTTGAATACGATGTTATAATAATAATAATAATAATAATATTATAAATATTATATATATATATATAAATAAAAAATAATTAAATATTTCTTTTACATATATATTTTAATATAAATATAATAAATTAAAATGTATATTTAATTAATAATAACTATAAATTATAAATATTTATTTATATATAAAAATACATAGTAAAATTAATTTATTATAAATATAATTATCTTTTTAAAAATAATATAAATTGGGGACGTAACGGGGCGGGAACCCGAAACCCAGACAGGGACGAGGATGAAGACTTAATTCCTAACCCCAGCGGGATCGGGGACGGGACGGGGATGGTTAAAAAGTCGGGGCGGGTAGGGGAGGCAAAACCCGCCCCGCCCCGCCCCGCCCCATGCCTAATTGTAACTGTTGAAAGTCCCACATCGCCTACCTCATATCATTTGGTATGGTTTAAATACATGTTAGGCTACTCCACATATTGCCAATTGGTTTTATGTTGGAACCTTAACATGGTATCTAGAGCTTAAGGTTCTCTTGAATTTTTTTTTTCCGCCTTTTGTCCACTGTTGGAGCCGCCCCACCGCTGCTAGAGCCTCCCCACCGCCGCTAAAGCCGCCCCACCGCGTCGGTAACCGATCCTCCACATCGGAAAAGAATTATCTTTGTCATTGAATTTTATTTGGTAGTGTGAAAGTGCATGTTTAGGAAAGTTCTGACAAGGAAAGACTTGGTATTTAAGTGTGTCCATTAGTGACCCACCTCTCTTTCCTGGGAACTTACCTAGTGTACTAGTTCACGTTACTGTCACCGCTGCCGCTGGAGCAGTCTCCGGGTCCGCCGCTGTCGGAGAATTCGCCGGAGTTTCATTTTTTTTTACCGGTGACATATGATTTTGCTTGTCTCGGTCAGGGTTTGTTCTCCCGCTCTTCATGACTTCTTCCACTATTTCCAATTTTGTTAACGATTCTTTTGTGTTGACATCCCATCGTGATGACCGGGCTCGCCCTCGCAAACAGGAAAAAGGGCGTCCTAAGGATCAACAGTCTTCTAGTTCCACTATATCTGTCACACATACAAATACATATTTTGCTGGTCTGACCCAATCATTTTCTCCTGGTCCTTGGGTTTTTGATTCAGGAGCCACTGATCATATTACTGGTAACAAATCTTTGTTCTCCTCTTTATCCTCTCCTAATCATTTACCTTCTGTTACACTGGCTGATGGCTCTAGAGTATCATCTCATGGTGTTGGAACGGTTAAACTTTTTCCTTCTTTAACCATTGATAATGTTCTTTATGTCCCTGGGTCTCCTTTTAACCTGTTGTCCATCAGTCGTCTAACTCGTTCTCTTGATTGTGTTGTTACTTTTACCAACAATTCTGTGTGTTTACAGGACCGGAGTTCGAAACAGGTGATTGGCACAGGATGTGAGTCTCATGGTCTTTATTATCTCCGTCCCTCTACACATGTTAGTACAGTTATGGAGTCTCCCTCTCTTCTTCATGCTCGGTTAGGTCATCCAAGTCTTGCCAAGTTACGAAACTTGTCCCTGCCTTGTCTAACTTATCTAGTTTGGCGTGTGAGTCATGTCAATTAGGCAAGCATAGTCGTACTTCCTTTCCTCGTAGTTTCACACGTGGTGCTTCGTCCCCTTTGCCGTGGTTCACTCGACATTTGGGGACCTAGCCGCGTTAAGTCTACTTTAGGTTTTCAATACTTTGTTACTTTCATTGATGATTATTCCGGATGCACTTGGTTATTTTTGATGAAAAATCGTTCCGAATTATTTCATATCTTTCAAACTTTTTTAATGAAATTCAAACTCGGTTCGGTGTTTCTATTAGAGTTTTGCGTAGTGATAATGACCGTGAATATCTTTCTCATTCTTTTAAACAATTCATGGCTTCTCACGGTATTTTGCATCAAACTTCTTGTGCTTATACACCTCAACAAAATGGTGTAGCTGAACGTAAAAATAGACATCTTATTGAAACAACTCGCACACTTTTAATTCATGGAGATGTTCCTCAACATTTTTGGGGTGATGCTCTTCTTACCGCATGTTATCTCATTAATCGCATGCCTTCTTCGGTTTTAGATAATAAAATACCTCATTCCATTTTATTCCCTCATGAACCACTTCATCCTTTACCTCTGAAAGTTTTCGAGTCTACATGTTTTGTTCATAATTTTAGTTACAGTCTCGGACAAGCTTTCTCCTAGATCACATAAATGTGTTTTCTTAGGGTTTACAAGATCACAAAAAGGATACAAATGTTTTTCTCCTTCTCTTAACCGTTATTTTGTGTCAAAAGATGTCACCTTTGATGAGTTGTCTCTTTATTTTAAAAGTCAAATTTCACCTCTGTCTCCATCCAATCTTGTCAACACTCCTAATACATTTAATGTTCCTGTTGTTTGTGACCCTCTAATTGTGTCTTCTTCACCATTAGTTCCTCGCTCCGCAGTTAGCTTCTTCTCCACTTGCCTCTTCGGATTTATAGTTCTCGAAACCAATCACAACCACCACCATGTGACTCTACTCAAGTGCCAACTACTCTGTCTCCTCCGGATCTGACACATGAGTCCGACCTTCCCATTGCTCTCCGAAAAGGTATTCGTTCTACACGTAATCCCTCTCCCCATTATATTGCTTTGAGTTATCATCGATTGTCATTACCTTTTTATACATGTCTTTCCTCTATTTCTTCCGTGACCATTCCAAAAGCTGCTCGTGAAGCTTTAGCCCATCCTGGTTGGCGTCAGGCCATGTTAGATGAACTAAGTGCTCTTCATAATAGTGGAACTTGGGAATTGGTCCCGTTACCGATCTGGGAAATCTGTTGTTGGTTGCAGGTGGGTGTTTGCTATCAAAGTTGGACCTGATGGTACTATTGATCGCCTCAAAGCTCGTCTTGTGGCCAAAGGTTATACTCAAATTTTTGGGTTGGATTATGGAGATACCTTTTCCCTGTGGCAAAGATGGCTTCGTTCGTTTATTTATCGCCATGGCTACTCTTCAACAATGGCCTCTTTATCAATCTGGATGTTAAAAATGCTTTCCTCAATGGTGATTTGCAAGAAGAAATATATATGGAGCAACCTCCTGGGTTTGTTGCTTAGGGGAGTCTTCTGGGATGGTATGTCGTCTTCGCAAATCCCTATATGGCCTAAAACAGTCTCCTAGGGCTTGGTTTGGAAAGTTTAGCAAGGTTGTTCAACAATTTGGTATGACTCGGTGTGAATCAGATCATTCTGTCTTTTATCGACACTCGAGTGCTTGGATGTGTTTACTTGATAGTATATGTTGATGATATTGTTCTTACAGGTAGTGACAACCATGGCATCTCTCAGTTGAAACAACATCTTTGTCACCATTTTCGGACCAAAGATCTTGGCAAACTTAGATATTTCTTGGGTATTGAGGTAGCACAGTCCAATGATGGTATTGTTATATCTCGGAGGAAGTATGCCATAGATATTTTGGAGGAAACTGGGTTGATGAGTTCAAAGTATGTTGATACACCCATGGATCCCAATACTAAACTTCTACCAAATCGGGGGAGCCTATATCTCGATCCTGAGCGAGTATAGAAGATTGGTTGGAAAATTGAATTATCTTACGAGTTACTCGTCCCGACATTTCCTTTGCGAGTCAGTGTGGTAAGTCAATTTCTTAATTCACCATGTGAAGATCATTGGAATGCAGATCATTCGTATCTTGAAGTATATTAAAGGATCTCCTGGAAAAGGATTGTTATATGCTTCTAATAACCATACAAGAGTTGTTTGCTACTCGGATGCTGATTAGGCGAGGATCTCCTTCGGATAGAAGATCTACATCCGGATATTGTGTCTCCATTGGTGGTAACTTGATTTCATGGAAAAGTAAGAAACAAAGTGTTGTGGCAAGATCCAGTGCAGAAGCAGAATATAGAGCTATGGCCTCAGCTTTCCGTGAACTTGTTTGGCTCAAGCAATTGCTTAGAGAGTTACAATTTGGAGATGTCACTCAAATGACACTTGTGTGTGACAATCAGGTCGCTTCTTCATATTAGTTCTAATCCTGTCTTTCATGAGAGGACCAAACACATTGAGATTGATCTGTCATTTTATTCGAGAAAAGATTATGTCCGGAGATATCAAGACCGAGTTTGTTAACTCAAGTGATCAGTTAGCGAGATATTTTTACTAAATCTTTACGGGGTCCTAGAATTGATTATATTTGTAACAAGCTTGGCACATACGATTTGTATGCTCCAGCTTGAGGGGAGTGTTAGATATTGTTTATATATTATTTGATATTGTTAAGATATTGTTAGATATTGGTAACCACAATATCAAACAATATCTTCTGTTTATTCTCGTTACTTTCAGTTACTCTTTTAGTTGTATATCTCTACTATAAATAGACTACCCTATGTGTGATTTATACACAAGGGAAATTAATTCCAAACCATATTTTCTCTATATTCAACATGGTATCGGAGCCAAAGCCTAACATCTTTCCTAGGTTATTGTCATGGGCCAAAAGTTGCCCTTTAGTTGGGTCAAAGTACCCTTTGCCTGGTCCGGCGAGCTTCGTTGGAGGGGTGTGTTGAAAGTCCCACATCGCCTACCTCATATCATTTGGTATGGTTTAAATACATGTTAGCTACTCCAGCATATCGCCAATTGGTTTTATGTTGGAACCTTAACAGTAACAATCATAAATAGTACCACCATGTGATTGTGCATATCCTCTAATAATATAATACATGGAGAAAAACCATAAAAATAAGGAACTTTTCTAGAAGTGTGACGTTAAAACTATTTTATGAATTAATCAGTTATAAATTCAATTTTAATTTTTCAAATGAAAGTTAAATTAAATAAATTATTAAACCCAAATTAATTATACAATAGAAGAAGAAAAAAAAATGTAGCTTCCAAAACAGGAAAAAAAAAATTTAGAGTGGAAAAGTCCCTGGTTCACGTGACACCAAAACAAAGTGAGGCAATCTTTTCAAACAAATCCACCCCCACCCAACCATATCATCATTTTCCTCCTATCCCTTCTTTTTCTTCTTCACTTTTGCCACCATTTTCTCTTCCTCTGTGCTCTCTCTCCTCTCCTTTCTCTCATGCTCCCTCTCACATAAACTCGATCATCATGGCCACAGCCACACCCACCTTTCACAAGTGCCTCACTCATTTCACCGACGCCAAGAAATACAGCAAGGGACACCAATCCCTGCACTTCCTTCACTACCATGTAATGCACCAAACTGCTTCTTTGCTCATCTTCTTCTCTTCTTCCTTTAAATGTCTTACAACAATACATGGTTTTTTGAAACTATTTGTGGGGAAATCATGGATTAGAATTACTTTTAAATTCAAACTGATGCAGAAACTAATCCTTGGTTTGTGTGAGTCAGAGACCTGTGTGTCAAGGATGCTACCTTTCGATGAACGGTTGCAGAGAGGGAGATGGAAGAACAAGGAGGGCAGTTGGGACCATAGAAACCAGAACGTTGCAACCAGTTGCATCACCTGCAATGGCTATGTACAGTCTCAACATGGCCATTTCGGAGCTCAAATCGGAGGCTCCGTTTGGTACCTCGTCCGGCATAGTAAGGGTGCAGGTGCCGATTGAGGAGCAGGTTGAGGCCATTGATTGGCTTCATTCACAGAACCATCTTCTGCTTCCTCGCTGCTTCTTCTTTGGAAGGAAACACAGTTCCAATGGTCAAGAAAAGTTGGTGAGCGTTGCAGGGGTGGGTTCAGCTGTTTTCTTTTCCCAGCCACACCCCTTTTCCTACTGGGATTGGATTTCTATAAGGAGGTAATACATTTTTTATCCTCAAAAGATAAATTATTTGATACAGATTGGGAGAACAATGGTTAAACCGTTGATAATTAACAAAGAAAAGACTTTTATAACATATCAGGTTGAATTATAATGTTCATATTCTTCCATCTTTATTTGGGATTTTAGCTTTTTTTCTTCTTCTTCATATTTTAGTTTACATGATAGAACTTATGCAACATTGGTTTAATTATTAAATTTACATGTATTTTTTATTTTAGTTAATTAAATTGTTTTTAATAGTATCTTAAATGGATAGTTTGGTCTAAAATTTAATCGAATCAAAATAAAATATATGTAAAATTAAATATATGAATTTTGTAGTAACTGTGAGTTTGTAACATAATTGATTGTGAATAAATGAGATGCATTTAATGAACATTTTCTAAATTGCAATAGAGAGGATCTTTATCTTCACTCACAGCAATTCACATTACTCTGCATTTATTAGGTTTGAAAAGTGATTCAACGAAAACTTGGCTTGTAAATTTATTATCAAGGGATCATATGACTTGGCATGCACACTGGATAATTTACTCCCTCAAGTCATTGGCAATAAATTGTCAAATCCTGTGTTTTGTTGGCAGATAGTTGATAATCCTTTTTCAAACACAACAAATGCAATGTTCATTAGACCCACTTAAATTTTTACTACAAGGTATATGAATACTTTTTTGGCATATTCTTTTAATATCGACCAAAATTTATTAAAGCTTGCAACAATAGAAAATGTGTTATAAAGAATGTGGATAAAAGTTCTGCTGCTAAAATTACCTGCACCATTTATTAAGTATATTTGAATCATACACTTCAATGTGATTTGACTAGCTAACAACTTATATTATGTGATGAATTGCAAGTCACTTTTATACTATGGATGAATGGGTATAATTCTATATCATCCAAATGAATTATAGTATTCAACATTAGTTTTTTTTGCACTATATTTGATTAAGCTAATGTTCTTTATTTAGTCTTACCTTATGATATAGAGGCTTCAAACTGTTGACTGATGGTTTTGTTTTAGGAGACTTATGGTCATTTCCTAATTAAATTATTGTACTAAACACTATATTTCAAACTAGTTTTTTGTTGATAATCTTACAATTCAATATGATTTATAACGAATAATTAAAAAAATTGGCCGGAAGATTATGATTTGGATTGTGATTTCATTACCTGGATACTCACACTGCTCTCTCGTGTACAAAATTCAGTCCACCAACTGTTATGTATAAAACCTCAAAATCTGTTTATAATTTTCTCTTAGGTTTTGATTTCGAAACATTTCACTTTCAAGGTTTCTTTCTGAGAGATGTCCTTTAATCCGTGCATATGGAGCTATCCGTTTCAGTGCAGAAGCTAAGGTGTCATCAGAGTGGCTGGCTTTTGGTTCTTTCTACTTCATGATTCCTCAGGTGCATAAATTGTTTTCTTTCCAAAAACTGATTTGCTATTCCATGTTTGTGTTAGTATTTATGGCTTCAGCAGCTAGAGATACCAAGCCAAAAAAAAATGACAGGTTGAGTTCAATGAGCTTGAAGGAGGATCGATGCTTACCATAACTATTGCGTGGGATAATGATCTTTCTTGGTCATGGGAGAACGCAATCAATGCACTCCAAGAAACACTTTGCAAAGTGAGTGTTGATAGATGGTCTTTTGAGTACGATAAAACTTTTTTTCTTTTGAAAGCTGTTAGGACAAAACTTAAGACAGTTACAGGTACTTTTGGTCGATCTCTAGTAAAAATTGGAGTTTCACCTTTGTAATTATATTTGACTTTTAACGCAAAATTTTGATACATTGATTACTGAGATGAATCTCTATTTTTTTCTGGGAAACAAAACCAAAAATACTTGAACTGTATTTATGTTGTCTTAAAAGTTATTAGGCATAATATTTCATTCAAAACAAAATACACCTTTGCGGTGTAGGTTTCTTCTTCCATTGTGAACTTTCCAATACAAACTCCTCCAACATTAATATTAAGCAGCCATAACATTCCTAGTAAAGTAGACTGGGATCTTGCCGTTAATAGAGCTTTACAAATGATAGAGCGAAATGACTCCTTATTAACCAAGGTAACATATATCTCATGCATATTTCTTCTATCTTGTGTTTTTCTTTCAAGTTTTTCCCTTTTGCTTTTGTACTTGTGTTTCAAGAGTCCATATGAATACTCAACTTCTTATGCCATCTTGGTAACTCAGGTTGTGCTAGCACGTAGCACTAGAGTAGTGCCTACTGCTGGTATTGATCCTCTTGCATGGTTATCTTGCTTAAAGGTATTGTACTCGTCTTTTTAGTCCTGCCCCAAGCAAATTAAACAGTGTTGTCTTCATATTATGTAGTAGCAATTTTTCTTATGTTCCCATCAAAACCATTACAGATTGAAGGTGAAAATGCATATCAGTTTTTACTTCAGCCACCAAATGCTCCAGCATTCATTGGAAACACAGTAAGCATGCACTAGACTGGTTTTATATATTCTCACCGATATATCATTTACTTGACATGTCATGATGCTGTGCCTGAACATTCCTCAAAGTACACCTGCAAATGAATTTAGTGCAAACCTCAAACTAACTTAATTTAGGTTAATAGCTTAATTTTGTTTAATTTATAAGTCATGAGGTGGATGACATTTTCAAGAACTGTTTACTGAATTGAATCAGCAATGATACATTTTTCTCCTCTGTTTCCAATTTAATTTTTATGAACTTGATGAATAGCCAGAGCAACTATTTCACAGAAATTGGCTCCACATAACTAGTGAGGCTTTGGCTGGAACCCGTGCTAGAGGAGCATCACAAGCACTAGATCGTCAAATTGAACTTGACTTACTTACTAGGTATACCTTGTTACTTAGATCTTTGATCAAAACTGTTGCTTTAGACTAGTTTCCCTGATGCATGTGATCTCCACTATTTACTTTTATGCCTAGCTCCTCAATTTTTGTTGTTTAAGTTTCTGTCGTATCTTCACAGTCCAAAGGATGACATTGAGTTTACCATAGTGAGAGACACCATAAGAAGAAAATTAGAGGTAAGTTTATTCTTGTAATTTTAGTTATTAGCATGGATTGGTTATCTGTTTAGAAGATACTTTCCACTGCATGTTTGATCTTGTTTCTAAATGAATATTTCCTTGAGCCATTAGATATTTCATAGGTGAACGAGAACAAGTGTTGAAAGGAGGAGATTTAATTTCAATAAAATTATTATTGGTTGTATGATGTTAACTTTTAGAAATTAGAATCTGGTGTACAAATCTTTAGCCACATGCTGTCGATGTAAAGATCCAGACACAAGAGTAGATTGAATGTATTAGTTTCTCTAATTATAACATTGAAGTTATGTTGTCCTCCATATGATTAAAACATTGTTGATTGAAAGTCTGAACTCTATGACGCCACATTCAAACATGTTCATTTTCATATTACTTTTGCATTTTCATATATCCAGTTTAGAACAATTTATCATGAAGATAAACCTTTTATCTCTTGTTTTTCTATCAGGCAGTATGTGAAAGGGTTGTGATCAAGCCAGAGAAAATGATAAGAAAACTCCCTAGGATTCAACATTTGTTTGCTCAATTATCTGGCAGGTTAAGAAGCGAAGAAGATGAGGTAAACATAATATAATTTCAGCACCAAATAATTATGTTTCAATGGAAATTCCTTATGAGGTTCTAATTTTCAATTTTTTTCAATATAAGAATTTATTCCGATACGCACCATATAATTAGGTTGTTCATCTGTTCTTTTCCTTTTTGATCTTTTAGTTTGAAATTTTGTCATCTCTTCACCCTAGTCCAGCTGTCTGTGGGTTTCCAACAGAAGAAGCGCAACTTTTAATTGCAGAAACAGGTACATCCTCGTTTCTTTTATAAATGTTTCTACCCAATCAAATATTTTTCTTACTTGTTCATTAAAGGATTTTTAGCCTGAGCTTTTATATTTTGCTTTTGGAAATAGAGGAAGTCATATAAATTGCAATAAAATCACATTCTTTAGTGGGGTGTAGAAACTGGGATGACCATAGCTTGCACTAAGACATGAAAGTCCATGTAAGGACTGGAAGTTTATGCGAATTGGAATATGTTATCTGGGCAGAATGATGAGAACAGAAATGACACTTACTCATATTATTTGATACTAGCGGAAATACAACAGATGTGTGTCCACATTTTTAGTTCCATTCTTTTTTTTCTTAATGCGAAAAAGATTCCTTTAAGAGTGAAAAACAACAGATGGTGTAATTGAGGGAATTTTAACATATGTATACTAGAAGAGAAACGGGGATAGATAAAAAATTTCGTCACCATATATTTTTGTGGAGAGCTCTTTTTATTATGCTGTAATTTAGCCATGTCTTTGATGTTTCAAATTCTGTTTACAACACGTAAGTTTTTTACGCCAATTATTTAGATAAATTTTTACTTACTTTCAAGACAATATGCAGAACTCTTTGATCGAGGGATGTATGCTGGACCTGTTGGTTGGTTTGGAGGAGGAGAGAGTGAGTTTGCTGTAGGCATCCGGTCAGCATTGGTGGAAGAGGTTAGCTCTATAAGGAGTTTTTCAAATGAGACTTTCAGTTTGCACAGATTTAAATTTTTTGAAGATTTTGATTATAGTCCAAAATTATTCGTGTTTTAACATCTGATATAATCAAACGTGTTTTTAATCCCTACACCTTTGGTCAAACGTGATTAAGAACTCATTGATGAAATTGGTTCTTAAACTTTGAAAAACATGTGGATTTAGTCTTACCTAACTTTTATAAACATTTACAGATTAGATGACGGACTAAATTCAATTGGTTTTAAGTTTGGAAACAAAATTAATTGATGGAATGTATAAGGATCCTCATCACATTTAATCCAAACTACGGCAATTATTTTCTCTTGTATTTTAATTCAGTACTGTAGCGGGAAATGCGTTTGTTTTAGTTTAGGTCCCTGCATTGTTATTAATATGCATCTTGGTGACAATAGAATACACTTTCAGAATAGGTTTCTTCCCTTGAGTTTCAGGAGTTTGCACTGATATGCTAACTTTGAACAAACCCCGGTTGTCCCTTCGGTAAAGTTGTGGAAAATAACTATGAAATTCCCATAAATTCCAGAACTCTAATTATTAGTATCAACATTCACATTGAATACTGAAAAGTGACCACATACAAACCTATTCATGATGTTTTTACCATCAATCATGACATTGTCATGTTTTGATTATAGGATAGGGGTGCGTATATATATGCTGGGACGGGGATTGTGGAAGGAAGCAGTCCTTATCTGGAGTGGGATGAGCTAGAACTCAAGACATCTCAGGTGTGTTTCTGAATGAAGCTAAATGTTGGTGTAAATTCATGCGTGACCTTTTTGTTTAGAGATCATGCATCCTTCAGAAAGATTGTTAAGGAATTATCAACTTCACATTATTTTTGTGCACTATTCTACAAAGATTCATTGCCATAATGAATGTTGAATCATATATTTTGTAGTTCACCAAGTTGCTAAAGCTTGACTTGCCTCAGAGACAGAAAGTAGATTGTAAATGAGCTCCACTGACACGGTTAGCATTGTTAATGACTGATAATTTATGTTGATGAAGTTCTTGAATAGCCTGTGTTAGTTAGGGATTGGTGATTGATGGTTTTTGTTTATCAAATGTTGCATTGATTTAGATTATAAACTTTGTAGAGAGGATAGTTTGTCTGATCAATTTATTACAACTTCTCTTACTTACTCCAAGTAAAAATGGAGTTAAACAATTCCATCCATCCAAAATGATTGGTGCAATTAATGTTTCCAATGAATCATCTTAAACTACCTAAAGAAATCACACCAATCATTTTGAATAAACCCTTTACCTTCTTTTTACAGCTTAATTCTTTAACTTAGTACAATCTATTTGACCTTTTATTTATATTATTTTTAATCTCTCCTATTCTTATAAATTAGATGGTAGAGACTAAAAGGAATTAAAATTTGTATGTATAGAGACAAAAAGAGATTAAAATAGAAAATAAAATGAACAAACATTAAATATTAGAACTAGAAGATAGACTTTGTAAAATTATAAGAACTAAATAAGTAATTAAACATTAATTTAGATGCATGTTAGTTGTTTGTTTTTGTCATTACATGTTTAGTTGAACTTAATTTAAGGAAATAATTATTTAACTTTCAGTTTTCAAAGAGAACTACTGAAAAGTAAATAATCACTCTTCCTCCAAATAAAACTCTAGCAAACATGCACCTAGTCGAGGCTTTCATTGTATCCACTGGTACATCCCTAGATTGGTCATGTTTCATTCTAATGAAGAAGATATGTACTATCCATTTTGAACTATTTTTCAGAAGTATGAGGAAAAATCTAATATTTCCCTATCTCTAAATGGTTAATTCGATTACTAATTCTTCTCTTGGTGTTGCAGTTTTTCTACATGAAGTTTGAGATTATGCTATTTCCTTCTTTTGGATATTGGCCTCATAAATCTGACAATTTTGAGGATCTGGACAACATTTAGAATGTACAAAGGAGTTTTATATAATGGTTTAATTTGTTGGCTCATTTGAGAAGATTAAACAAAACTAGTCAATTTGTATATGGGTTAAGAAGCCAAAACTACCATTCTTTCCCCTGATGCCTGTATTGTATTGGGGATTTAATCTTAAGGAACTGCAAAAGCATCATTATGTAAGATCATATTTGGGAAATAATCTTAATCAAACTACTTTTCCAAAACAATTCTAGCAAGGGATTTTGCGTTGAAGTGGTTAAATCAAGGTGTTCGCAAGTAATTTTATTATTTTATCAAACTTTTTTATCTTTGATACCTGAAAAATATCACCTTCATATTTAATATTTTGTTCAATTAAAGAAATTCAAGATAGTATTAGTCATGCATCTGCCCAAATAAATATTTTGCTAGTCGAACACAAAATGAATATCTATTCATGGACATTTGATGCAAGTTTAAGCGTGTGCTTATCATATAAATTCTGAGAAATAAGATGTAATATAAAATTAGGCCACACCGATTATATTTTAATACAAAGTTTAGTTGTATTTTGCAATTATTCTGACTAAAAATTAAATCAATTTAGATTAACAAATTCAAAGATGTTAATTAATTTTAATTTATTTTTTAGTTAAATTGAGAATATAGCTATTTATAGAAGGGATTTCAAATAGAGTTTTTAAAAATCTTTTTATTTGTTTCCAATTCCATCTATTCATTAATAAATCAATCGAGGAAGGTATCTCATCGTATTGTTAAAAGATTAGACAATAATTTATAGTCTAATAATGTATTTTAACCGGATGATACAGAGATTTCTTAAATTAAGACACTTGTATAAAATATGTTTTTTAAAGTAGTTTTTCTCGTCAAATTAGTTAATATCTTATGTGACAAAAATTGTGGTGATACTTTTGAATTAAAACTCAACTATTTTATGTAAGATCATATTGAGTTTGACGTACAAGATAAAATTTACGTTGAAGGTATATGTTTGATGTAAATTTCATTTTTTATGTCAGGTTTCATACGAGGTCGGATGTAAAATTGGTTTTATATTTTTTATAAGATTTTGACTTTATCACACACATAAAAACTTTTATTTTAGTAACGATGACAACAACAACATAGGGACTTTCTTAGATACTTTTGGACCAGAATAAACAGTGATGTCATCATTGTGACCCATTTGTAATTTTAAATGTTTTTCCATGATTAAATTGGAACATTGGAGTGTTTATTGTGTGATTGATGTAGTAATTTATGTTTCTAATTTTTATTGGAATGAAAATTGTGATTTTTTGTTTATATCCTCCGTCAGTAGTGTTATTATTGTCACGGTTATTATTTTTCTTTGCTATTATATATTGTCTTTATTAGTGTTGTAGTCTTTGTTGTCATTATTGTTACTTCTTCTTTACTATATTTTTGCTGCTGCTGTTGTTGTTATTGTCATTTCGATTATTTCGTCTTCATTTACATTTTGGTATTATTGTTGTTCTTCTTCCGTTATTATGATAGTGTTTCATCCATTGCCAAACTTTGTTTTCATCGTCCTCCATTGTGGTTTTTTTATTAAAATTGAAATTTTGGCATTTTTTTGAAACATCAAATATAAATTTACGTCTTCCGCATTGATGTTAGAACTTATTCTAACTTAAAAAAATCCAAAATAACATACTAAAAAATTTTTTTGTACTAGTGAGATTTTCATATTGATTTTCTAATATTTTAAAAGTGTTCTTTTAAAAATAAATAAGTAGTAAATAAGACATGTAAACAAATAAGAAACATATAAAGATGTTGCACCTATATTAGTTTACCCCAACTAAGGATTATATTTATTCTTCCTTAAAATAGATTAAAAGATTTTATTATAATTAATTAAATTACATTGTGTACACTAAGTCACTCTTGGTTACATGAATATACCAATTCTTGGTCATCAACTATAATTTTCTCCCAAAACTAAAATACAAGTATTATTTGTCGACTCTAACTACAAAAATTGTTGTAAAAGTTGTATAATCATTAAAAAATTCTCATAAAAAAGATAAACAATAAATATTTCTAATCGAGGTTTTATTTCACTTGGTGAAGATAGAACAAGAAACTAATGAGTTTATTTTAGACTATCCAAATTGATCAATTGGTCTCAAGACATTAGATGATGGACATGAAATGATGAGGTGTCCATGTGTTAGTATGATGTGTTGGAAAACTAATAATAATAATAATAATCCTGATTTTGATTCTAACGATCAAACATAAACATAATTCCATACTGATAAACATGCTGTAAACTGAATGCGAAAGCGTACATGAATTAGTCATAATGATGATGTCTTTGTAGAACACTATATTGATCTTATGGTCTTCGAGTGTTGGCAAAATTTGGGTCATATATATATATGATATATAATTTAAATGTGTTAGGGTCATTATTTATTAAGCCAAATAATAAAGTGATCTGACTAAATTAAAGTTTTGGCTAAAGGCATATGTCATGAAAATAAAATTGTGTAGAGACCATAGAGCAATTTCTAATTTGATGAGGGGCCAAATTGGAAATACTAAAACTTAAGTAATTAACCTAATTCTGGTTATTTTAAGGGGTCGTGGTCCCCTTCTGGGAGCACACACACAGAACGTAAGTATCAGTCCCGTTCCTTTCTTTCTATCCCCATCAAAAGAGAAAATCAAGAGGGAAATACATGTGCTCGTCAGGTGGAAGACCATAAGATCAATATAGTGCTCTACAAAGACATCATCGTTATGGCTAATTAAGGTACGCTTTCGCATTCGAGTTTACAACATGTTTATCGAGTATGGGATTATGTTTATGTTTGATCGTTAGAATCAAAATCAGGATTATTATTATTATTATTATTATTATTATTATTATTATTATTATTGTTTTTCCAACAATTGGTATCGAGCCGCCCATATTTGATTCATGTCTCGTTTAATTTATAGAATCCTAATTATGAAAATTAGGATTAATTTTGTTTTAAACAATTCAAATTACCCAATTTTATGAACTCTAAGTGGAGAATAATCTCTAATTTTCGTGAAACCTAAAATTTAAATTTGGAGGTAACATCCCCAATCTGATTACGCTGGCTGATGGAGCTGTGGAGGAAGCTATGGATTCTTCTTCTTCTTCTTTTTTTCCTTTTGTTTCAGTTTAAGTTTCAAGTTTTACTGAGAAAGAAATAGTGTTTCAAATTTCAATTTTTTTTGTATTGGGTTCTCTGTTCTTTTTTGAATATTTTGTTTTTATTTAATTTTATGGGTTTGGAATTGAGAGTGGTGTTTGGAGAATTCCCAACATAGAGGATCTTAGGCAACTGGTGAATGTTTCCACATGTGTGGTTGTTATTATTTTATTGCCTCTATCCCCTAGGAATTTAAGGAAAATTTGATGTTAAATTAGGGTTTGAGTGATTACTATTTAATTCCCTTTTAGGGTTTAGAGCGATATGCTAAAGAGACTCAAAACTATATCCTGTTTCATCCCTAGTGTGATTTTAGGGAGATGTTCATCCTTTATGTATTGGTGGAAGATGAGACCTTTTTTCATCCTTTGATTTATTCAAATGAGGTGTTCATCCCTAATGAGATTTTAGGGAGGTGTTCATCCTTAGTAGAATTCTAATGAGGTGATTCTCTTTTGAATTAGTTTGCAAATATTAAATATTTGGTTTTGTTATATAAATAAAATATTCAATTTTTGGTAGTTTAATATTTTTTTGTGAGCAAATTGAGTCAAGAAGTCACCAAAGTAACTTCTCTTGAATTGGGCGAGTTCATGAAAAATATTGAATGTTAGTGTTTGTGTATATTCATGCGAGTATTAGTCAGCCCAAAGGAAGATTAATATTTGGCCGAATTGCATATACACTTGTAATGATAAACATGTGATAATTATAAGGATTTGCTTTGTCGATGATAAATCAATCCAAAGACTGGTTTGTTGTTGGACGTGCTTTATTATCAATGTTTGATTATTACAACAAGATACCTCTAGCGAG